CCCCCCCCCGGCCGGTGTGTCCACAGGCTGGATTCTGCACTTGTTTTCCCAAACCACATTCAGGACGCTTTACCTCGACTGGAGTGCGGCTGATCGGCTCTTAGCCGTCCCAAGACGTCAGTCCGGTCACTGATAGGGAACACGCTACCATATATGTCCCACCCCCCGCCCCTCAACCAGGTACAACGCAGGCCAAGCCCAGGCATGCTGTCGCCAGATCTACACATCCACGTGCTGCCCCAGTGGGCGCCAAGGACTCAGGGCTACCCCCGCCTGCTTCATCATCTACACCAGAGATCTGCACACCCTCCAGCCCCCTGGGTCCCCTCGAGAGGCGCAGGCCACACTCACCATCCAGCTTCATCTGCTCCGGGCAGTAGTAGTGGACCACGGCCAGGAGCGCCGCCCCGTGGCTGCCATCCCGCATCAGGTCCTCCAGCAGCGGGAAGTGGGGCGGCTGCCGTGCGGACAGGTGCTCTCGGCGGTAGCGCACCTGCGGGAGAGAGAGGACCTGGTCACCGCGCGGCGCCGGCGCTCAGCCAGCATCCATGGCAGCTGGCCGGACCACGGCCAGAAAAACAGCAGCCACGCGGGAAAGCCTCGCGGTCTGGGTTATACCCTCTGCCTGGAACATGCGTCCAGACCCAGGGAACTGTGCTTCTTGGCCACAGCGGGCGACCGCGGTGAGCTGCTCAGGACGCCAGGGCCGTCTCACTCTGAGGGCCAGGCACCCCGGGAAGGAGGCAGGACACACGTCTACGTTGCCAGGGGCTGCACACGGTCCACGGATGAGAAACAAGTTATGTGGTGAATGCCCTACGCCGGGAAGACCCACATTACTGGTCTTTCTCAGAACCAGCAGCACACACCTCGGCATTATGAAAAACACAAGGCAGCATGCACATGGAGTTTGGGAAACTTCCAAAACCAGCTTAGACAAAAAGTCGTCTGATCCATCCTCCAGCCCCTCAGATAAGCGCACGGGCACGTGGGGAATCTGAAGGCACGTGAAGTGCTATAAAAAAAGGCATTTCTTCCAAAGTTTCTGTGCCGCTGTGTTTATGGACAGGAAACAAGTACTCAGGGCGGAGCCTCCCCCGCCTGCAGGGGCCGCCCTGTACCTGGGCCTCACTCAGAGCGTGGACACACAGGCCGCCGGGTGACCACGTCCTGTGGTGTAGGTAAGCCTGGCATTTTTGCGGCCACGCTTTCCCCAGGGTATACCGGAGAGCACAGTGCCGGCTCGAGGAACAAGGCCCGTGCTGATTTCCGGAGCCACATGGGAGAGTCAATCAACCCAAAGGAAACCCCCAGCAGCAACCCCGGAGTGCCAACACCAGGCAGTCAGCAGCGGCGTGTGCACCGAAGATGCCCCACCTGGGCCCGTGCGATGCACACCACTCCCACCAGTCTCCACGGGGACTTTTAACTTGTTTCTCGGCCTGGTGCAGGCTCCCGCCCAGGGCCAGGCCCAGGGGCTCCCGCGTGCAGCCCGAGGCATGCGCCCGACCAGCCTCCACACGCGCACACACACACACAGACACACAGCACACGGCAGAGCACAGCATGCAGGAAAGCGGATGGTTTCTCGCCCAGGACGGATGGTGTGAGTCTGCGTTGGGGAAAGCGCTGACCCCTTGGGTCCGGGAGCCGGCACCGCCCCTCGAGGGGGCCCCACTCCCAGCCCCGGGCCCACTCGCTCGGGCAGCCGAGGGGACCGACCACCTGGGAGAAGACCCCGAGGGCTCTGCTCCTGGCCATGTCTCCCAGTGAGGCCCTTGTCTCGTCTGACACCCTCCTTCCGGAGGACCTCCACGCCTGACTGTCCTCACTACGCCTCGGATCTGCTTTCACAGGTCGCTCTCTGGCCTTTGGTTTCCAGCAAGTTAAGAGATATGCAAACACTCAAAAAAAAAAAATTTGGCCTTTCCCTTCTTTGTGATTATTACATTTCAAAGAAGCAAAATTATCCATCAGCCACAAAGTGGACTCTGTCATTGTTCATGCAGATCCCACTGACAGTTTATATCTATCGTATCGCCTTTATAGTCGAATCCATCGTATCGCCTTTATAGTCGAATCCTAAGGACCATTTGATCCAAACAATTAAACTAAAGGGACAGGCAAAAATAAGGAAGCTTCAAAAAGATTTGTTCTGCAGAACTTCATTTCAAAGGGCACCACTTGGAGCACCAAGTATTTGTCCGTGGGAAACGGTGTAACAAAACAGGTCCATTTCCAGAACAGTCACTGGTGAACCATGCCACCAGGAAGAACAAATCCAAGGGTCACTCGGCAAATCATGCCACGGGCCATTCCTGCCAGAATCTATAAGGGAATGGATCCTGTCGCTGACCCTGAAGTTCATCACAGAAAGCATGAAACTACCTCTTCAAAGGAGAAACATGAAGCTGTCTGTCAAGTTCACCTAAAAAAGCGGGCACAACGCGCTCTGGGTGGTGGCTATAGCAGGCCTCCCTGGAGCGGAGAGGGCCCATCCCGGTCCACCCTGCCCAGAACTGGGCCAGCCCTGCCCCGCAGGAAGTGCAGCAGACCACCAGGGAGGACACGCAAACAGAGACACAGTCACGAGCGACTTGAAATGGAAGCAGGTGATGGCGGCGGAAGGCCATCTGCGCGCAGGGTCCACTTACGGGCACTAACTTCCAGTACCACTTGGAGGGAGACTGCTCAGGAGGCGAGGGAAGGAAGGCAGGAGAGGAGTCAGCAGGCAGGTCCGCTGAGGACGGACGAGACACACTCCACACGCCACGCTCACACGGGAGGTGTGCCGCCTCCGCGAGGCGAGCTGTGCCCAACGCACATGGCCCAGGGCGCTCTGCACTAGCAGGGGACCCAGGGGACCACAGGCACCCCCGCGACACTAGCCTCTGGGGGCGAGCGGGCCGGGCCCCCCAGAGGATACGTGCCAAGCCCACTCAGAGAGGGCCTCGGCAAGCCGCCTGCACCTGTCTGAGGGGGCTCACGGCGGCCTGGCTGGGCTGAGGGACCCACGGACAGCACCCCCGGGGCCCAGGAGGGAGCGAGTGGAGGCTCCCTCGACCTGCAGCCCCGGCCAGCCACGGTGTGCACACGCAGAGGAACGTGGACTCAGTCACACACGCACGTGGCCACCCCACCCCCCAAAACAGGGACAAACAGGATGGAGGTGTGTCGTTTCACTGGACACAGGACCCTTACCCTCCTGAACACACTGGACGCATGGCCCACGAGGGCCCCGAGGGGGCTTCTGGCTGCCAGGAACATCCCCTCCTGTGCAGACTCCCCTCGGGTGACCCTGCACCCTCGGTGACCCTTACGCCCTCCCTCTGCTCCCCCAGCCTCCCAAGTTCAAGTTCAATACTAGACCACCCCTGCCTGGAAGAAAGGACAACGGGCTGCGAGCCCCTGCCGCCAGGGCAGGGCCCCAGGGCACCCACCCCCTGCCTGGCGAGTGAAACGGAAGGACAAGCAGGGAGCCCACACAGACACAATCCTCTACAGTCGGGAGCTACAGCCACAGAGCATTCCCGAGAAGTGAGATCTGCCCTTTACCTTCTGATGAGCCGGACTTTCCAATAACTGCTGCTTTAACTTAACTTCTTTCTCTGTTATCTCTCTCATTTTAAGATTTACCTAAAGCAGAAGAAATCAAATGCATTAGGAAGGCAATTGAGACTGATTTCCAACACTGGGGTGTATGTCCCTCCTCCACGACCCAGACCCCACCTCGGCTGTGTGAACTCTCCCAGATGCAGGTGACACAGATGCCGTGACCTGTGACTCTGACCCCGTGACCCTTGACACAGAGAAGGAGGAAGGGCCTGGCGCGCCCTGGTGCCTGTGCGCTGCTCCCCGCCTCATCGCAGAGCACCCTGGGGGCTCAGGCAGCACAAGGTCACCGCCACCATCACCAAACCCCGCTGACAACATGGCCTGGCTGAGACCCACCCCGGACACCCAACAGGGGCCCACACATTCCCACCACGATACCACCAGCAACCACCGGACACCAGGAGCACTTACTACAGCCGCTCAGAAATAAAAATACCTTCTTCTGGAATTATTACCTCAAAGTTAAGATCAAAACTGCAAATTACAAAACAATGCCATGGAGAAAAACACTGAACAAGGCACGTGGCCGAAGCCACAGTCAGATGAGATGCCACAGAACTGAATGCCTCATCGTCAAACAAGAACACAGATACGTGAACTCATGCAAATCAAATCAAGGACAGGGAATAAACTCTTTTTTAATACTTATTTATTTGCCTACATCAGGGGTCTTAGTTACGTCATGTGGGATCTTTCATCAGGGCACATGGATTCACCAGTTGTGGCGTGCGGACTTTCAGAGTCACCACGCACGGACTTCTGGAGTCATGTGGCACACAGACTCAGCAGTGGCTGAGATGAAATGCAAACCCAGACAGCTCCAGCATTGGGTTAAATGCAGTTCGTCTAAAACTCCAATTGCTTAGAAGAGATCCGTAAGAAACCCACTTTAAACAGAAAGACAAGGAGAAATTAAACATAACAGGAAGGGGAATCCCTGGAGATCCAGTGGTGAAGAATCTGCTTGCCAACGCAGAGGACATGGGCTCAATCTCTGGTAAGGGAAGATTCCAAGTGCCAAGGGGCAACTAGGCCCTCAAGTCACAACTACTGAAGCCCGGGGACCCTAGAGCCCATGGTCTGCAACAGGAGAAGCCCCCACTCGCCTCAATTAGGGAAAGCCCACGTGCAGCAGTGAAGACCTAGCGCAACCGAAAACAAATAAATAATTAAAAAATAAAATATGAGGAAGGGAAGACATGCGCTGGTCGCGAGAAGGCTGGAGGCAAGGACCGTCACCTGTGACAAAGGGACTCTTTGCAACCATAAAAGGACAGAAAAATCCTAAGTGCACAAATGTAACAACATGTGATAAACACATAAAGCAAGGACGGACATGAACAAAAGGCGAAACAGAATCATGCCTGGAGATTCCAACTCTCTTCTCCGGTCACTGCCTGACGGGGCATGAAGCCCCCGAAGATGCACCCCACCCACAGCAACCTGAACTGACACGTGCAGCGCGCTGAGCGAACAGCAGAGAGCACGGGGAACACCTGGCAAGACCACACAGTGGACACAGAACAAGCCTCAATAAGCCTCGAAGGACTGCAGCCACACAGCGTGGTCTCGACCACACCGGAACGAGAAACCAGCGCTCTGAAAAATACCCAGAACCACCCCACCAAACATGGGAACTAAACTACAAGCTTCCAGACAACCCACTGATGGAACAAGGATCCACCAGTGAAACAAAATATCTTAAAGAGAAGGAAGAAGACCACAGCATGTAATAAAGATGTGCACTGTGCAGCTAAAGTACTACTTAAAGAGGACTTATTAGTTAATAAGTCCTCCAAATGTTTATATTAAAATGAACAACAGTGTAAAAGAACTAATCTTCTACTTTATCTAGAAAGGAGAGAAAATTAAATTCAAAATAAACAGAAAAAATAATAAAAGCAAGAAGAGACGTTACATAGAAAATAATTGGAGAAATCAATAAAAACCAAAAGCAGGTTTTTTAGGACATTAATAAAATTGATAAACTAGACCAACAAAAGGAAGAAAAACAGACAGACATTACTAAGAGCGGGAAACAAGAGGGGACATCACTACGGATCATACATACACGAAAGGACAACAAAGAAATATGAACGTGATGATAAAGTTAAAATTTAGAGAAAATTGACAAATTCCTTGAAAGTCACAAGTTGCCAAAACTGACATGAAATTAAACAGAAATCCTAAATACCTTACATGTACACTGAAGAAGTTAAATTCATAATTAAAATCTTCCCACTAAGAAAACTCCAAGCCCAGATGGGTTCAGCAGTGAATCCATCAAAGACTTCATGACAAAATAATACTAATCGTACAAAAATTGTTTCACAAGATAAAGGAGGGAACACTTCCCAACTCATATTTTTGACACCGGCCATTATTCTGATGCTGAAACAATAAAAACACAAGAAAATACACCGAAGAAAGTGCTAGATCCCTAGATCTTTATATACATAAAATACTCTCAAAACTGATTAAGACAAACCACCTCATTAAACCTGGGCCAATTATCTGAATGGACACCTAACAAAATACACAGAAACACCTTTAGTCGTTAGGGAAATGCCAACTAACACTGTAAGATAACACAGCCACTCACGGCTGAACAGAAAGACTGACACCACCACGGATGGGCAGAGCGTAGACACCAGGACCCTCGTCCCGCACCCTAGCCAGGCCCCACTCTGCCCTCCAGATTCCCGCGGGGTGCTTCCCACCCGCACCCCCATGCGAAGCCAGAGGGCGTGTAAGGGCAGCTGCTTCCGCCACAAGACGATCTCACAGGCACTGGCCAGGCGGCGAGTCCCGACCACGCCCAGAGGTCCACCACGAGCCCGAGGAGAGCCCCCACCTCACCGGGCATCCCTGACCCCCGAGGCCCGGCCCTGCACGGGGAGGAACCAGGAGCAGGCTGACCGTCTCAGCAGACGTCCTGGCAGAACGTCATCCCCGAGACACGCGGGCCCCGCCTGTCTCTGCCCTGCTCCTCGGCTGACCCCGGATAAAGCCCTTACATGCAGAGGACGCGTGTGCGAGCTGTGCAGTGAGGAATGCATGAGCTCCGGCACGCAGCACAGCCCCGAGCGGGCTGCTGGGCTTCGGCCCCTCTGCTCTCTGAGCGCAGAGCCCCGCAGGCAGCACCTCTCTGCAGGGAGGGGCTTAATAACCCCAGGCTCCAAGGGAACCATCATCACACCCCACAGAGAAAGAACATTCTTCACATGGACCTTACAGATGGTCACACTGTGAGCTTCTAAATGACAAAGGAGAAAACAGCATTCAAGAAGACACCCTTTTCTCTTAATCAAAACACCTTCTAAATCTGAGATCTCCATGGATGCACACTGGGTGCCTGTGATAAAAACAACAAGAATTTATGAAGCAGGGCCGTGCGACATGGCCCCTTCACAGCCCCCTCATCCTTCCGTCTGTACACGCAGGAGGAGCCCGTCTGTCCAAACCACAGCGGACCGTCTCCTGGGCCTCCGGCTGGGCCGCATTTCAGCGGGACACACAGGAAGGTGATGCTCTCGGGGAGAAGGGACCTGCACCCACAGGGCACCCCTGGAGCTTCAGGCCTCGCCCGCCTCGGCAGGGCCCCCCAGGCTCACCTTGTTGACCCAGAAGACCATGGCATCCTCAAGGTCGTACGGGAGCTCTTTGGAGGCGCTGAAGGTGGAGAAGCGCTTGACGCTGGCCACCACCTTCTCAATGCTGATCATCTCCACGGTGTAGGCCATCATGAGGGCGTCCACCATCGCCATGTGGGCGCTCTGGGGGCAGAGGCAGCAGTCGGTCACCCTCCCCTGCCCCGCAGCCCAGGGTCAGGTGGAAATCCTCCCCACACCCACACGGGAGCCCTCCTCGGGGTCACCTCAGCTTGGCCCCCCATCCTCCTCTCCAAGGACTCCATGAGAGCTCAGCCATGGGAGAAGGCACAAGACAGGCCCGAGGCCGCGTGACTACTGCCAGCCCCGGGCATTCAGGGGTCCGCATGCTGAACTCAGGCCTTGAAGCCCTTTCTTCCCGGAACCGGGAACATCCTCCCAACCCAAAACACACCCAGCCAGGCCAAAAACCAGAAGATGCAGAACACCCGAGAATGGCCTGAGCTAAAGCACGTGGGAAGCGCCAGGAGGTGGGTTCGACCTGGAGCAGCCTGGCCTGGAAACGCCAGACTGGTGAACGGCTGCGGAGAAGGATGGGGAGGGGGACGCTCAGGGGAGGAGAGGCGCGTCTATTTCTTTATTTTGGCAAGAAAATTCTTAGAAGATACATGTGAAACACTCTCTGAGTGGGCCCAGCAAATCCATATCGCCACCTCTAAACGCAACTCGGTTTCCCACGGTCGGGTGGGGCAGCGCTGCCCCGGGGACAGGCCAGGAAAGCAGCCCCCACCCTGTTCCAGCCCAGCCACATCCCGTCGAGAGAAGGTGGTCTCAGGCCTGAAGTTTCGGGGCAACTCCGCCGCGCTGCAGGGCACAGCGGCCGCCCCCCACCGCCCAGGCCACTCACCATCTTGATGGGCGCATGGCTGAGGTCGGGCTCCGTCACGGGGGTGTCGTCACTCTCCATCACATAAATCCCTTTCCGGGACAGAGCCTGGATGACGGACTGGTGTCCCTGCAGGGCGGCCACCTGGTCCCCTTTGAGGATGAGGCTGCACACGCGGCAGTACAGTTCGCTGGACAGCAGGAGCTTGATGACCGGAGGCTTGATGTGCTCCTGCTCGTACTGGTCAATGTAGAAGGGGTCCCTGAGGTCCTCGGGGATGTCATCTGCAGCGACAGGAGACCCCCGCATGTGGGCGTTACACCCAAATGCAGCTGCACCGGCCACTCGCAGCCGCTTCCCGCCTCCTGGAGCTGTTGGTGGGACGGTGGCCTGAGGACGCCGAGCTGGGGACACAGGTGTGGGGACGGCCGTCTGCAAGGTGAGGTCTGCAGGGACAGCCTTCATTCACCAGGAGTGTCGGGAGCCAGGGCTGCCACACCACAGCGATCCAGGCTCAGGACTCCGGAGTGGCCGCAGGAAAGGCCACAGAGAATGAGAAGATTTGGACAAGTCTGTAGTTAACACAGGGCCACACTCAACGCAGAAGGAGGATCAGAGCTCAAGGCCTCATGTAAGCTGGACCACGTGTGGGCCTAAAGCAGGACCCGAGCATGGCGGCCTGGCCTTGGCTGGGCGCACCGCTCACGGCCAGTCAGAACCTCACCTTGAGTGCAAATCACAGACACTATGAAGGCTGATCTCCTAGGGTCGGGTGAGGATTAAATCATAACACGCGCGTAAGTCACGGCGCTGAGAGCCTGGAGCTCCACAAAATTCACACAAGTTTAGGTTATCAATCCTGTTATCAACCAGGCTAAAAAGACAGTCAAGGAAGTGCCTTCCTGGTGCCGTGCGCCACGCTCTGCCTGTCCTGTCAACCGAGGCTGCCCCGCTAGCCTGGGGTAGGGCAGTGAAGACCTGGAGCATGCGGGGGCCGAGACCCCCAGGAGGTGCCCACCCAGGCGGAGGAAAACGCAGGCTACGGGCCCCCATGACGCAGCAGGACAGAGAGCCTTGAAACACACCGCGGAGTCCAGCCCCGCCCCAGACCAAGCAGATCAGAATGCCCTGCCAGCACCAGCATTTGTTCCGCTGAGAATCGCTACATCAGAGACTCCGGAGGTGGCTGACAGTCTCCACCGAGAACTCACTCACTTCTTCACGCTGGTTGTGGCAACAAGCACTCAGAGGTCTTCTCATTCTGGACCCCCGTGCGCCCCACCCTTCACTGGAGACATCGGACGGGAGAGAAAGAAAGCGGGGGCAGCACCCAGTGCCCCTCCCTGCCCCACCAAACAAGGCCCAGGGACAGAACCAGCTCCCTGCCTGCAGGCACAGGCAGTTCAGGAGTGAGGCCCTGGCCTGCCAGCCGAGGGGAAGCCAGCAGGAGCGGAGAACCCAGGACAGGAGGGAGCCTCAAAGGGGACCCTCGTTCACGGATAAGCCCCTCCTGTGTGAAGTGCGAGCAGGACAGACCCGAAGAACCGAAATGACCTTGGAACCCACGGCCTACAGACAGCAAACAGATGTCTGTTGTGGAACCTAGTGGGGTTTACTGCAACCCCCAGAAACACCAACATCCTCCAGAGGATTTTAGCGGGACCCAGAAAACAGCCTCACATTATTCAAACTGTCCAGGACCCAATCCATATTTACTCAACATAAAAAGACAGGAAAATGTGACCAATTCTCAGGGGGAAACAGACACCGACTCTGAGATGACCCAGATGAGAGAATCATCAAAGACTTCAGAGCATCTATAATGACAAGGCTCCATGAAGCCTTCCTGAAACAGATGGAGAGAACAGAAGTCACTAACAGAGAAATAAAACTTATTTTAAAAAAACCACCTTCAGGATTTCCCTGGGGGCCTGTGGTTAAGAATCCACCCGCCAATGCAGGGGATGAGAGCTGGATCCCTGGTCTAGGAAGACAGCACACGCTGTGGGGCAACTGCACCCATGTGTCACAAGCGCAAAAGCCCACGTGCTCCAGAGCCCACACCGCAACCAAGAGGAGCCCCCACTCGCCGTAGCGAGAGAAAACCCGAGCACAGCAACAGAGACCCAGCACAGCCATGAACAAAGGTACAAACACATTTTAAAAGCTTTAAAAAGAAAAAAAAACAAACCTTCAGAACTGCAAAATCTAGTTACCAACAGGAAGTTCAATGACAGATTCAAAAGATGAACAAAGCAGAAGCACACTCACAGATACGGAGAAGAAACCAGTGGCGACCAGTGGGAGGGTGGGGGCGGGCAGCATAAAGGCAGGGGAGCAGGGTTACAAACAAAAATACACTGGGTACAAAGCAGGCTCAAGGACATCCTGTACAACCCAGGGAATGTGGCAATGTTTTGTAATAACTATAAATGGAAAGTAACCTCTAAAAATTGTATAAAAATAAATCAAAAATTAAGTTAAATTTAAAAAATACAAACAAAACAGAGAAAACAATCAGTGAACCTGAAGACAGATCCACAGAAATAATCCATCTGCAGAGCAGAGAGAAAGACGATGGACTGAAAAGCAGAGACCCAGTGACCGCTGCCACCGAGGGGAGCCTGGGGCAGGAAAAACATTTGAGTAAATGGTGCCCGGAACCTCCCCACGTCTGATAACACACCAATTTACGGGCTCAGGAAGCCCAGCAAACCCAAACAGAACCAACTTGAAGAAAACCAGGCCCACACACTTCCTAATCAAACTGCTGAAAGCCAAAGAAGTATCGGGCCCGGGGGACCTGAGTGGAGGCATCAGCCAGATCTCCGACGGCTACACTTAAGGAAAGGAAACAGGACAGAATTAAGAATTCTGGCAGAAAAATGGAAATTATTTTTAGAGAGAGAGAGAAAAGAACTTGGCAGATTAGGAAAAGAACCAAGAAGAAATTCCAGAACAGAAATATACAGCGACTGAACGGACACCCTGGACGGCTGAACAGCACCTCATACGCAGAGGAGAGAAAGGACCGCGGAGAAGGCTAGTGAGAAGCACTGCCGGCGCCCCAGGAAGAGAGGGGAGAGAGCAAAGGGCAGAGACAGGACTTCAGCAGCAGTGGGCGAGAACTTCCCAACACCTGTAAAATCCACGCCTCCCCCAGCAGGACTTAAACAAAGCAGCAGCAATCTACAGACCAAAGAACTTCCCTGTAAAACAGGTAAAATCCCAAGACGGAGGAGAATCTTGTAAAGCGACCAGAAGGGGCCCTCTGGCCGGGACAAGACGGCATGGACCAGCCTCTTCCTGCTGCTCTCCGCTGGGCACAACCACAAACCTTGCTGCCCACCCCAAGGAGAACCCACAGAGAGCTGGGGAAGGTGGACGATGACCCCCAGACTGGACGGGCAAGCAACGGCGTGTCTTACCACCTCCCACCCAGCGAAGGCGACCCAGGCCTGGGGCTCCCCGACCCCCAGCCTGGAAACAGAAGGCGAGTCAAGCAGGCTCGTCCTTGCAGCACAGGGGAGGCCAGGGGAGTCCCACCTACTGGCCAGGCCATCCTGGCAGAACCAGCAAGGGGTAGGAAGGGAGCCCCACGGACAGGCAGCCTGAACACCCACCGCCACCAGGCACCCAACCTGGAAGCGCCTCTCTCTCCCTCCCCACCCGGTCGGAGACACCCCCTCGTCAGCCTGCACAAGGGGAGCCCAGCGGTGGGCCCCCACGACAACAAGCAGCCGGGGAAACACTCTCAGAGGTGTGGGGTAGCCTGCCACAACACGCACCTGGCTTGGACACTCCTCGTCCTTGGGGAGAGAAGCCCACCTCGCCCAGAGGCACCAGGCAATCAGCCCCAGGCGCCGCCCTCCGCCTCCGAAAGCAGCATCAGCAGGTGCAGTGGGAACCCCAGACGCACCACGAACGGTGCCAGAAAGGCTCTGGAGATAAACCGGCACTGGGACCACAGTCCACACGGCAGGCCGGGACCTGCGTGCTGGGCCTGAGCAGGGAGACTGCCCACTGCGATAAAAGAAAAACCAATAGCACCTAGAGTCCCTGACGTAACAGCCAAAATGACCAGGAAACGACCAAAGATCGCCTATCAAACCCAGAACCAAGAAAATCAAGACTTCAGTGAGAAAGGAGAACCCACTGACACCAGACCAAGGTGAGTCTGATGCTGGAGCTGTCTGACCAAGGACCGTACAACAACCATCTGAAAAAACAGGACGAGGAGCAACCACAAGTTCTCCTGAAACAAACGAAAACTGAAAAAAATTCCAACATAGGAGTTATAAAAAGAACCAGACAAGGAACTGAAAAATAGAGTAACAAATTTTAAAACTCACTAAATAGTCTCAGGGCTTCCCTGGTGGCTCAGATGTTAAAGAATCTGCCTGCAATGCGGGAGACCTGGGTTCGATCCCTGGGTCAGGATCGACCTGGACAAGGGCATGGCAACCCACTCCAGTATTCTTGCCTGAAGAATCCCCATGGACAGAGGAGCCTGGCGGGCTGCGGGCCACGGGGTCACAGAGAGTCAGACACGACTGGGTGACTAAGAACAGCACAAACAGCGTCAACAGTTTAACTGGATAACAGAGCATAGGGTCACAGAGAAAATACACAGGAAAAACAAAATGAGTAGCCTCAGGGACCTGTGGAAGAATAACAAGAGATCCAGTATTTGCATCTCTGGAGTCTCAGAAAAGAATGTGAGCAGGGCTGACACAGTATGTAAGGAAACAATAGCTGAAAACTTCCCAAACATGGCAGACAATATAAACTCACGGATTTCAAGAAACTGAATGAACTCCAAATAGAATAAACCCAAAGATATCCACACCAAGACACTGCATAATCGGACTTATGAAAACTCAAGACAAAATATTCTGGAGCAGCTGGAAAGAAAGAGAACGCAACTCAATGAGTAGTGTTTCTCCTCCGAGCCACGGAGGCGGGGGAAGCAGCAGGCCTTACACACGCTTGAGGAAAGGAACATCTGTGCCTGGCAAGACTGCCCCCAAAGAACTGCAGGAGAAGTAAAGACACCCTCAGACAAGAGAAACTCAGGGGGCAGAAAAAATGCCTCTAGCAAACCTTAAAAGACTGGCTAAAGGAAATTCTCCAAATAGAAAGAAAATGATTTTAAAAAAATGAACCTTGGAGAACCAGGAAGAAAAAATTATGTAAGAAACAGGTAATATGAGTAAATACAATAGACTACCCTTCTCCTCGTGAGTTTTCTAAATTACATCCGATGAGACAAAATCCACACCTT